ACAAACGAACGTACAAACGAACGTTCAAACGGACGACCGTACGAACGGTTATCACTTATCACATTTTCTGTGTGATAAGACGAAGAATAATTATATATATATATATTTTTTTTTTAAAAAAATAATAGTAATAAAAGATTCAAACAAATTTAACTAAAAAATAAATAAATAAATAAATTTTTAAAATTATTTACTAACGAACAAACGAATGAACAAACAAACAAACGTTTGGGGGCAAGGAGTTTGACCCGATATTAAGTAAATTTATAAAATATTTTATTAATTTTACATACGTTTATATTCAAAGATGAAGGAAATGCAATATTTATACGTTAATAATTAATGTTATGTTTATTATTATTATTATTATTATTATTACCATCATCATCATCATCATCATCATCATTCATTCATTTTTAAACTGGAGAGACTTTGCGACGGAATTTATCAGTCAAAAAAAAAAAAAAAATGATCGAAATTTTTTTTTTTTCAAAATAAGTTTTATTGATTGATTATCGATTTTGCGGGGGCACTGCACGCACACGAACATGTACACGCACATCCACACGCACAGGTACAATAATATATCCAAGTTAGAAAATTTTTAAATTTTTCCGTTAAAATTCCAGAGTTAAAAACGTCACGATGAGAGGAGGGGATTTTTTTTTCGTGGTTATTTTTCTTCCTGTTAATTTTACATCGGTATTATTATTATTATTATTATTATTATTATTATTATTATTATTATTATTATTATTATTATTATTATTATTATTATTATTATTATTGTTATTAACACATACAGACGCGATGAATTTTGTGAATTCTTTTGGCGTTTTCTCAGGGATTCGTTCCAGACCATGTTTTGGGTAGAAATTTTGGAATTTTGTGCTTTTTATAAACGAGCGAAAAGTATTGCACGACGACTTTTCACTTCCGATTTTTTTTTTCTTTTCCTTTGAAAACGTTCTTATCATTACTTTGTGTGATAATGGATTTCATCACTGTCATACGCGTTCGATTATTTCCGGTCTGTGAAAATTTTTTTTTTTTTATTTAAACTCACTCACTCGGGCGTTAAAAAGAGAGAGAGAGAGAGAGAGAGAGAGAGAAAGAGTGAAAAAATTTCTTTGAAGTAATTTTTCGTTTCTTTTTTTTGCAACGCAAACGTATTTTTTTTGATACGACGACACGCGCGCACGCATTCGCACGAACGCAAATTTCGAACGCAAAAACACAATAAGAAAAAAAAAAAAGAAAAGGAGGAAAATTTATTATTTATGCATTCAATTTATTTTTGAACGAGAATGTGAAACAATAAGCAAATTCTAAACACAAAAGATTTTTCAATTGATTTTTTTTTTTTTTATCAAATGAATTTTCAAATGGATTTCGATGAAAAAGAGGGGAAAAAAATTAAAATTAAAATTAAATTAAAAAAAAAAAAAAAACCATAAGGAAATCATTGAAAAACTTGATAATAATAATAATATTAATAATAATAAAAACAATGAAAAGGAATTTTTTTTCTTTCTTTCTCTCTCTCTCTCTCTCTCTCTCGTTTCCTCCGCTCCCCCTCCTCGCATTTCGCTGGTAGAGAAAATTGGAATTTTTTTTTTTTTTACTTTTCTTCCAGGGCATGATAAATAATAATAATAATAATTTTGATGATGATATTAATTTTTATATTATTTTTATTATTATTAATTCTCGAATCGTGCAACGTGTGGCACCATCGGCAGCCCCCCCCCCCGCTTTTTCCCCCCTTTTTTTTATTTTTAAGAAAATTCTGTCGTTTGAAAAATTCGTTAGGAAAAAATTTTTATATAGTTTTTACCCGTGTAATGATTTCTTATTCTTCTTCTTATCATTATTATTATTATTATTATTATTATTATTATTATTATTATTATTATTATTATTATTATTATTATTATTATTATTATTTCGTGATCTATGCAGGAAAAATAAGGAAAAAATTTTTTTAGCAATAAAAGTTTTCGGGCGCTTTTTTTTTTTTTTATAATAATAATACATATGTATATGATATATA